CGTTTTTTCATATTTTTGGACGAGCTATCACGTCCTTAAGTCCTGCGCATATATAATGAAAAACCCTGTATAAGATCGTTAGCAGTCTTCCTCCAAACGTAGAAGAAATCATTATGTACAGGGTGTCTTGAAATTAGACGGTCATATTTTAACAGCGTAATCTAAATCCTAAAATAGAAGTAAAAGTTCATATAAACATAGGTCCGAAAACGTTTCTTTTCCGAGATACAGGGTGTTTAAAGTGAAGTCCTGATGACACATTTTTGTAAATATTTTCAAAACGCTTAAAGATAACTAAATTAAATTTTGTACAAATGCTTACCTTTTTACGCTCTATGTTATGGACTAAATCTTAGTTTTCGATCATCTTCATAGATGGGTAAATTAGGGGGGGGGGGGGGCTTAAGGTAAAATTTTTTTGTTTTTTTGTTGTGAGTTTTTAACATTTCTGACTAAAAAATTTGGAAACCCAATGTTTTTTTTACAATAAAGCTACTCTTATTGCATCTCGCTAGGACGCACCATTTTCAAGAAAAAAGCATTTGAAAATTTTATGATAAGTTCATATTATTTTATTCGAAAGTGCAAACAATAATTAGCAGGCCTGTGGAATCAGAATTTTTTTCAGGTTTGGAAAACGTGACTAAAGAAATGTATTTAGCTTTATTTTAATGTTTATTTTATAAAGAAACTTTAAATGGTAAAACTAAATAGTATTTAAACTTAAACTAAGCAATTGTTTTTTTTTAATGGTTTGGTTGGCTTTTGCCCAATAAAATGATTGAAGAGAATTTATTTCTTTAACTTCCGACGTTTAAACTCATTTAGGGTAATTCTTAGGATGGTAAAAATAAGCCAGATACGTTAAATATCGTAAAATATTGTAAAATAGCAAAACTGTATTTTAAATTAAGAATAGCTGGTAATTTCTTGAAAATATGAAGTTTGACTGAGTTAGAGAAGAAATCATTAGTTACCTACTTTTAATTATTGCAAATGCTATTTGATAATAATTTTAAGCTTTTTAACGTGAAGTATCTACTTTTATTTTCCTAAGGATGACTTAAAATAGGTCAAAATGATGACGATAAACAAATTATTCTCAAAAATTGTTTTTGTTTATACTACTAAAAATTCTACTAAAAATAACAAAAATTCTATTAAAAATAACAAAAATTCTATTAAAAATAACAAAAATTCTACTAAAAATATCAATTTATACAACATTTAAAGTAAGTGTTCAAAAACGTTGCCTTGCTGACGAAGACACATTTCGGCTCTACGGGTAATTGCATGTGAAGCTCGCATTACTTCAAAATTATTTTGCCGTATTTCATTCCCTGCCAAACGTATCTTTTCACGCAACTCTTCCGCACTGTCAACTTCTGTAGCGTATATCATATCTTTTATACGACCCCAAAAGTAATAATCTAATGGATTTAAATCCGGAGATCGGGGTGGCCACGGTATGGGACCACCTCTTCCTATCCATCTACCCGGAAATCTTTCATTTAGCCAATTTCTCACATTAACGCCATAATGGGCTGGCGCTTCGTCGTGCTGAAAGTGCAGCTGATGTCGAATATTTAATGGGAGATTATCCAGAATGGGTTCAAGGTGGGTTTGTAAAAAATTCAGATACTCAATTGCATTTAACCGAGCAGAAATTTTAATCGGCCCAATTAATCTGTCATTGATTATTGCCGCCCAAACATTAATAGAAAATCTAACTTGAAAAAATCGACGTCGCACCACCCGAGGATTTTCTTGTGAATAAAAATGGTGATTGTGAATATTAAAAACACCATCTCTATTAAATGTAGCCTCGTCGCTCCATATAATAAAAAGAAGCAGTTCCTGATGGTTTCTTATCCATTCACTAAACTCCATTCGTGGGGTCTTAAGGCTTGAACACGCTGATAATGATAGGGATTAATACTCTGCATTCTTAACATTCTTCCAACCTAAATGAACATATTTTTTAAAAGACACGTAAACTAAAGTAAGAATTTAAAAATGCCTTTAATCTGAAACTTGTTTGTGTTATTTTTAACCGACTTCAAAAAAGGAGGAGGTTCTCAATTCGTCGCGATATTTTTTTTTATGTATGTTCAGCGATAATTCTTTAACACGGTGTCCGATTTCAATGATTTTTTTTTATAGAAAGGGGTTACTACAGGAGTGGCCCCATATAAATTTGGTCAAAATTTAATAATTGGGTCCATGAGAAAATCCTCAAACTCTTCATTTTTTATGTATGTTTAGCGATAATGCTTTACCACCTTGTCCGATTTATATGATTATTTTTTTTGTTAGTAAGGGGATACCTCAGGGGAAGTCCCATATAAATTTGGTTAAGATGTGGTGATGGCGTCTGCACGTTTTTGAAGTCGGTTTGTTTAATTTTTTAATTTCTAATACTTGTACTTGTAAATTTGAGCAATAAAAACTAAGAATCACAAAATAGTATAAAGAAAAAGGGAAGTAATTATTACTTATTATTGCTCGTGGTATTTCTGAAAGGGTGGAAACAGTTCGAATACTCCTTCTTGGGTCCTCTTCAAATAAATTAAGGGCGTGTTCCAAATTGTTGTTCCCATGTGGTCTCCCTTGTCCACGATCACGTTGAAATGAACCATGGTCAACCAAATTTCTATGTGTATTAATAAATACACGGTAGTCAGGAATTCTTCGGTTAGGAAACCGTCTACGGTATGCTCGAACCGCTGCTCTTGCCCTTCCATTACACAAACCATATACAAAATGAATATCTGCCAATTCTCTATTTGTAAATCTCTCCATTTATTAGAAGTAAGTATTTTTCTTTCACGCAAAAAAAGTACAAATAATTACACAATTGACAGCCAATTTTTGTTTATCACAGCGTCTCAAAAAATTGAAAAGCAGCTATTGGATTCCAGGCCTACTTATTTTTGTTTGCACTTTCGAATAAGATAATATGAATTTATCATGAAATTTTCAAATGCGTTTCTCTTGAAAATGGTGCGTCCTAGTGAGATGCAGCAAGAGTAGCTTTATTGTAAAGAAAATATTAGGTTTCCAAATTTTTTAGTCAAAAATGTTAAAAACTGACAACAAAAAAACTTGGGGCAATTTTACCTTAAGCCCCCCCCCCTAATTTACCCATCTATGAAGATGATCAAAAACTAAGATTTAGTCAATTACATAGAGCATAAAAAGGTAAGCATTTGTACCAAATTTCATTTAGTTATCTTTAAGCGTTTAGAAAATATTTACAAAAGTGTGTCATCAGGACTTCACTTTTAACACCCTGTATCTCGAAAAAGAAACGTTTTCGGACCTTTATTTATATAAACTTTTACTCCTATTTTAGGGTGTAGATTACGCTGTTAAAATATGACCGTCTAATTTTGGGACACCCTGTATAGTGACTGCTGTTGGTAATCATAAAACAACTTCAAAAGAAATGATGACTTCTAACAATTCACCATAGCTTTTTGTCCCACGGCATATAAATATGCAGCAATTCAAAAAGTAAAAAAAATACGACAGTTAATATAGACATACCTAGAGACTGGGCAAATTTAATTCTGTGAAAGAAAGGTTATATTTTTGTGTACGAGATGGATCTGAAATTTTTTTTAAACTTTAAAGGCCTGCTCTCGCGTGATTTTAAACATACAAAGATTAACGCTCTGGGTGTCTTCTATTAGAGAAATAATGTATTCCCTGATTCATTGGGCAAACTGCATTACCGGTTTTCTTTTTATGAACATTTTAAATCTATGAGCCTCTTAAGAAAAAGAAGAAGAAAATTTAATGTAATACACCTTATAATTCTCTTTTGGATACTGAAGACGAACCCTGTCAAGAGGATAAAACTTTTTAGTTTATTATATATTTTTCAGTCTGGCACAGTAAAATAAAATAATAATAAAAATAATAATAATATATTATGGGTCATTCCATGTCAAATCGACAAATAGTTGGACGGGACCCCCATTGATTTGAATTAATTTGGGTGGAGAGTTTTGTCTCATCATAAAACGAAGTTCTGCCGAAGGAAAAAATTTTAAAAAATTTTTCCTAAGAGATATTCAAAATTAAAAATTTCACTGTTTTTCCGATTTTATGAGTTTAGTTATTTAATATTTCAGAAACTACTGAATATTAAAAAAAAAACTCTGGTGCATTTTCAGAAGACACTTAGAGGTATGAGAAAAATTTTTTTTTGAAAATTATCAAAATTAAAAAATTTTGAATTTTTCAAAATCGTGAAAAGTAATCATTGCGGGAAAATTTTGGCCTGAAAATGTTTTGTATTATACCTCTAATATACCTAAAGAAATTCTAAAATTTTCAGAGGGGTGTTCCTTTTCGTTTCAAAGATATGAATTTTTGAATTTTGGCAAAATAGTTTTTTCAACTTTTTTTGTTGAATATTATTATTCTACCACATGATTACCGAAATTTGAGGTCTAAAATATTTTGCTTATGTTAATGGGATGTAAAAACAAAAATATCTCAAAATTGTATGTAATTATCTGTTTATTTAGAATACTGTTTAACATTCAAGGCTTCCGTGATCAAATGAAAGGATTAAAAGCATAAAGGAAGTATTCGATTTTTAAGATTTCAATTCCTTTTGTCCTTTCAGGGTTTGCCGCAGTTCATTTCGTACGACGTTTTTTGGTCACTCCCTTTTCTGAGGTCAATGTCTCAGTCCTTTTTCTCAATCTTAAAAGAAAAAAATGATATTAATTTTGAAATAAAAGATTAATTGCCATAAAGTAAAAAAACTCGAAATTCTGATTTTTCTACCTGGTTTTCATTGGTGATTCATAGATGATATCATAAACATTAGTGTTTTTTAAGCGAAAATCTTTTCCTTCTCGTGATGATGATAAAGTTTTCATTTTTATCACATCCCGTGAAATAGGAATAGCAGCATGACAGCTTCGTATTCCTTGAACAGGTAAAGCATCTTTAAATCTTTTGCTGAGTTTTTTTTCGGCCAGCTAAATTTTATTGTTGGAAACGAAACGACAATATACTCCAGGAAGATTATCTTGGCCCCATTTACACATTTCTTCAGGAGTTTGTATTTGTTGATCAGCTTCTTTTTGGAGGTTAGATCGGGTAAGTAAACGCTTGATAAGTCCACCCAACCCATCACTTGGACCTTTCCCATGAGAAGTTACATGGAAATGCCATTCGACTGGTATTTTAAAATCTTCTTTATGGTAGAGCAAGTTAACTAAATTGTACCGGTTCTTGTATTGAGATGCAGCACCATTCGAAAAATAAATAATTTTTGTAATATTGGGAACCTTAGTTTTAAGAAACGATGTTAATTCCTCTTGAAAACTGTAAACGGCAGTAGTGTTATGCGTTAAGTTTTCCAAAACTATTATCAATCTAAGAGGTATTACTTTGCTCTCATTCCCATCAATAGATTTATAATAACAAGCAAATGGATGAATTGTTGCTTGTGTATTATTCCAATATTCTCCTTGAACACTATTTTGTAGCAAGAACGAATAGTTTTCAGAAAAATCAGCAACCACAAGAATTTGTCCAACTTCAAGATTACTTTTTACGGTTTGGAAATATTCAGCTTGTTGTTTAGCAATAAAATCATGTTGCAGTACTTTTGGAATTGATTCTATAAAAAAATCAACAAAATCGTCAGTTGATTTAATGATCGTCTCCAAAGAACATCTATCAACTTGAGTCCACTGATTACATTTGAGTTCATCTAAAAAATTATCCGTGAAAAGATTTTCCAAAATAGTTCTTAATTTTATTGAGCCTGGACAATGAGTACAGGTACCGAAATAACAGTTTTCTGTAGGTTCTTGGCATATAAACATTTTCATACAGTCTCGATACGACGATAATGGTTGACTATCATCTCGAAGTTTTAATTTATCAAGTTTCGCACCGTGAAATAAAAGTTTAAAATTTTCATGAATAAGACAAACACAAACAACGTGAGTGCCTGATGCACCAGCAAGAACACATTCAGCCGGTTTCAAACTAGCACATTTTGAGAAACCTTTCTTTTCAAATGGGTACTTTTCTCAAAACAGTTGATAAATTTCGGTAAGGTTACCTAAAATTAAACGTTTTTGTTTCTGTACACGTTGACCATTCTCACACACAGATTTATAATCTTTTTTGCCAGGTAATTCTCTACTGATATATTGACTTCTGAAAAATTATTGGACTCTTTCTTCTGTAGTCTTCAATAGTGGATGACCTTTATTGGAATCAGGAATAAACAGAATACCATCTTGTTTTACTTTCTGTTTTACTTTTCTTACTATGTAGGAAGATGCTCCAAAGGTATTAACAATTTTTTCTATCGACCAACTTGATGGAAGAACAGATAAAATTTGTAATTTTTCACTCCATTTACTAGTATTATCAAATTTATTTTTTAATTCATCTACTATTTCTCTTCCAGTTAGTTCTGGATCATCGTCAATCGTCGAATTACTATCTTTAGCTGAATCAAAAATATCTGTTACATGTTCAAAGCATGATTGTATCTTAGATTTCATGTCATGTAATTTCTTCCAAGCATAAGTTTTCGATCGATCTAAATCTTTTTTTAATCGGAGATAAATTTAATGTTTTTGAAACAGTATTTAGACGTTCAAAGTGAATATCTTGTGGAGTGAAAGTTTCACTAGTTGAGCTATAAACTTCAGATGTTGATGTTGTAGTATTCGATAAAAACAATTTTTCAGATAAATTAGATGACATTTTTTCCTGCATCTCAAGTGAGCTTTGAATGACTACTGGGGTCTCCTCTGCGTTGACTGTAAACATTTTAGATGAATCAAAATCAAAATTTTCTGAAATCGCTTCAATGAATCCACTTTCTTCAACTTTGACAGTTTGTTTAAATACTTTTGAATCAATTTCCTGTTTTTTTTTTTTAAATCACTATTGATTTTTTTTTTAACAAGTTATACATAGTTTAGTGCCAGGAACAATGGGCAAACTAAGCTTACACAGATTGTAAAGCTCAAAAGAAACCACTTTTAATGATGTAAATTTTTGAACCTTATGAATTTTATACGGATCAATACAAACTCTTTGATTCAAAATGTAATGTTCACGAAATTGTTTATGTTTAGCACAAATGAAATTCACAACGGTACCACTTCTAGCATTCAGAGAAATACGGTCTTCATCTGAAAAAGACTTGCAGTCTATTAGACCATCTTCAAAGCACATTTCTTTACTAGATATACCGATTGAACACTGTCTTTTCTTCTCCATAACGAATTTTAATTTTATTCTGATTATTATCTCAGAAATTCAGATTCACGAACAGACTCAGTTATTTTATGTTGTTGACGATTAGATACAACAAGTTTGATCTTTATAATAGTAATAATAATCATAAGAAATAGGGCCCTCTAGTGGGCTCTATCGATAATAGTGATTTCACTGATGGGAACATAGATGGCAGAGTGTGACACTTTTAACATTATTTAAGTTTTGATTTAAAGTTAAATCTATAATATATTTTGATATATTTATGGTTTTACATCCCATTAACATAAGAAAAATATTTTAGACCTCAAATTTCGGTAATCATGTGGTAGAATAATAATATTCAACAAAAAAAGTTGAAAAAATTGAAAAAAACTGTTTTGCCAAAATTCAAAAATTCATATCTTTGAAACGAAAAAGAACACCCCCCTGAAAATTTCAGAATTTCTTTAGATATGTTAGAGGTATAATACAAAAAATTTTCAGGCCAAAATTTTTTCGCGATGATTACTTTTCACGATTTTGAAAAATGAAATTTTTTTTAATTTTGATCATTTTCAAAATTTTTTTAAAAAAAATTTTTTTCTCATACCTCTAAGTGTCTTCTGAAAATGCACCAAAGTTTTTTTTTTAGTATTCAGTCGTTTCTGAAATATTAAATAACTAAACTCATAAAATCGGAAAAACAGTGAAATATTTAATTTTGAATATCTCTTAGGAAAAATTTTTTAAAATTTTTTTCTTTGGCAGAACTTCGTTTTATGATGAGACAAAACTCTCCACCAAAATTCATCTGAATCGGTGGGGATCGCGTCCAACTATTTGTCGATTTGACATGGAATGACCCTACTGCAGATTATTTAATATTGTCGTTAAAATCATCTACATCTTAACATGTAAAGTTTTTTCTTAATCTCCTCACCAGCCATATTATACGGACAAAATTCATTGGGAACTTTGAAACCTCTCCGAATATTCAGTTAAAATTCGTCTTATCCACAGAGAATTAGTTTTCAAACTAATCTTACTCGAATAATCATGTGCTATAACATCAAAGTTAAAGAGATTTATCTGTGTAGCTAACTAAAATGTTAGTACTTCGAAAAATTTGATAATTTTAAACTTAATTTTCTAAATATAATGTTTGTTTTTTACCGTGCTTAATTTAAAAAAATGGCTAATAAAGGGATTGTTTTGAAAAAGTGTGAACATTTACTTAAAAAATAAATATTTTTAAAAATACAGAGTAAATAAAATAAAAACATGCTGATCAACTTTATACGCGAAATGAGGCGTCTTTGATACCTCCCTAAAAATATGTTTAAAACGCACACAAGATGTTCAAGGTGATCATAATCGCCCCGTTTGCAATAGACGTTGTATTTTTTTTGGTATATAGCGGAGTAAAACTTGGAAGTAAAGACGCTTAGTTTTTGAGAAAAAAAAAAACGGCGTAGAACCAAACCAGACTTAGTGCAATTCTTTAATAAGGTAATCGAGTACACGAAATCATTTTTGACGACATTTTTTGATGGTCGAGAACTTTTTTATTTCGAGAAAACTTAAAAAAAAAATGATTTTTTATAAAACATGTTTTTTAACGTCTCCACCGCAATATCTTGGAACATAATCGTGCTATCCAGGTATTTTTTTCTACATATTAAAGTAGACAATATAGCGGTTTGAACAATATTCCACTTAAATTAAAAAACAAAATATTAATTTGTTAAAATAACAGCAAACTCAAACTTGTTATTTTCAGTTGCGTAATTTTAAGCAATCGAGAAAAAAGTTTATTTATAAAAATTTGTACATATATGTGAGAACAAATTGAAGCCAATAGTCAAAAAAAGTTTTTAGAATAAAAAGTTTTTATGTGTCGGTTATAGTATCGAGGCAGCGATTTTTCTTAAACAGGCCAAAATCATATTGTTATGTGAGCCATTTCATTATTCAGTCATGCTCTAACCCTACAAGTCTCTCTCTGTCTTATTTGGCCTTTAAGGCTCACTTGTCCGATTATTATACATAATTAAACCCCTTAAGACCAAACCTATGGGACGACTATGGCGGAGGTGATTTCGATGATGTTCGAGTAAGGACGAGATAATATTTCTGGACTGTTCGAAATATTTCTGGTTTGGTGGAGAAGCTTCTCGACGCCACCAAATTTTAGAAATTTGTATATAAATAATGGTGGATGAGCCATCATGAGTAGTTGTTATATGGACAGTAAAGATAAATAGTAATTAGTAGATAGACAGTAGTGAATATAAATAGTGAGCGATTCAAAGACATTTGATATATAAATTAAATAGTTGTGTCATAAAATAAATAAGTGTTTAAATAAATTATTAATAAATAAACTGTTGTTTGAAAATAAACAAACATCACATTGGTGTCGCGAAGTGGAATAGTGTAAATAAATAGTGGACAATCATGGGTAAAAGACTTTGTGATTTAAAAGTGCCTGAGCTACGCCGAGAATTAGAAGAACGTGAACTGGAGACGACAGGGAAGAAATCAGATGTGGCAGAACGACTTAAAAAAGCACTAGAAAATGAAGGTTTGGATCCGGAAACGTTTTTATTTTCGGATGATGCATCTGCTATAATTTCTTCAATTTCTTCCGATATGGAAAGTAAAATGTCTTCTATGAAAACCGATATTTCTTCTAATATTTCCTCATTAGAAACTAAAGTTTCTTCAGACATTTCCTCATTGGAAAATAAAGTTTCTTCAAACGTTTCTTCTATAAAAAGTGATCTTACTTCCTTAGAAAGTAAAGTTTCGTCCGATATTTCTTCTTTAGAAGAAAAAGTGTCTTCTGATGTTTCTTCCGTGAAAAACGAAATCTCTTCTTTAGAAACTAAAGTTTCTTCTGATATCTCCTCTTTAAAAGATGAAATTTCTTCCGACTTGGAAAACAAAATGTCTTCTATGGAAAATAAATTTTCGTCTAATATTTCTTCCTTAGAAGAAAGGGTGTCTTCTTTAAAAATCGAAATCTCTGCTGATGTCTAAAACAAGATGTCTTCTGTAAAGAAGAAAATAAGAGAGATGAAAAAGAAGATAGAAGAACTTGAACATACAGAACCAGTCAAGGACGGTGAAATAAAGTGCCATGAGGTGGAGTCGAAGTTGAAATTGGAAGGAGCTGTAAACTCTCCTCGTGTTAAAGCCCCAACTTTTGACGAGAAGATGTCATGGACGAACTACCTTAAGCAGTTCGAAACAGCTGCCAGAGCAAACGAGTGGTCTGAACGAGAAAAGGCAATAAATTTGACCATCGCTCTTCGAGGAGACGCTTTGGATGTCCTTCAGACTATACTCGTGGAAGAAACAGATGATTTTAAACAACTCAAAAAGAGACTAAATATGCGATATGGCCACGAACACTTGGAGCATTTGTACCAGTCACAGTTGAAGAATCGTAAACAAAAACGCGACGAGACTCTTTAGGAATATAAAGTAGATATTGCCAGGTTGGTACGATTTGCTTATCCATCAGCTCCGGAAAACATGATGGAATGTTTGGCAGTTCAAACCTTTTTTGATGGACTTCGTGACCACGAGATGCAAAGAACACTACGTCTAGCCCGTCACAAAACATTGGTCGATGTCTTGTCTGCTGCCCTTGAATATGAGGCAGCTACACAGGACTCTGGTGGATACAATAAAGGGAGGACCATAAAAGAGGAAAAAGAGGAATGTAAACTCGATCAACTGGTGAATATGGTAAAGGGCCTTACTGACAGAAAGAATAAGACAAAGACTATCAGGTGCTGGAATTGTGGTGAACTAGGACATGTACGCAGTTCATGCAAACGTCCAAGGGTCACAACGAATCAAGAAAACACGCCGCAGGAAAACTAGAGCGGGTCGGCCTAAAGGGGGCAGCTGCGACCCGAAACCGTTCCAAAGACCCTCTCATACTGATAGCCTCTTTGAAATGTCGCGATGATAGTGTATACGTAGACGGCGAAGTAAATGGCAAAAAGTATACACTGTTGGTGGATACTGGAGCAACTAGGACCATTATACGACCAACAGCTATAAATAACCGTAAGAAACTTCTACCAACAAGATTGCGACTACGGACTGCCACAGGTGAAAGTGCCAACATCCATGGGGAAATCCAGGTTCAATTGGGAATTGGTACACAAAAGTTCACTCACACTGTTATTGTCGCTGATATCGAAGAAGATGTTATTCTTGGAA